TAATTAAAATCTATTTATTTTATGCCTTTAAAATAAAAAAAAATCCTAAGAAAGTCATTTATTTCAGAAATGCAAATCATTTCATTTTTAGAACCCAATAAATAGATAAATATATATTTAAAATTTATTTATTTTATGCCTTTAAAATAAAAAATAAAATAAAAGTGAATCTGTCTGGTAAGATTAAGTAGTTTGTGTCACTTTAATAAATGTTCACTTTTTTTTTATGAGTAATGGTTCAATCCGACTTAATGATAATTATTTAAATAAATAAATAAATAAATAAAATAAAAGCACTTATAATTTGGATTATCATGTATTAAATTCTTGATATTTGTTAAGGTTTCATTTATTATAATAATAATTAAATTATTCTCATTTTTTTTATATTTTCTCATGTTTAAAAAAATTATTTTATTTTTGAACAATTTTAATGGTGTATCATTATACCCCACATCAATTGATTTGAAACCTTTAAAAAAGATTAATTTTTTTAAATATTAGTTCTAAAACTTGTACCTTAATTTTGGTCTACATTAAAATAATTTTTATCATTTATATACTTTGTTAAAATTTTTCGTTAAATTAATATTTAAAAAATTAAAAATCAAATTAATAAAATTAAAATAGAACTGTAGATGTATTTAAATAGCCTTTTAGAGATCTTTTGATTATGCTAATTTGTCTATAAAAAATGGAAGTTGGTTTCCCTTTATCATACAATCAAAATAAAATAATAATAATAATAATATTTTACAACTTAATACAATTTTATACTACAAAATAATTACCCTAAACTTATTAAATCATTAGCTTCTTTTTTATGAAATCTTAGACGACGGTATAAAAAGAGCAGAGAGGAAACACCGCAGTTCTCCAAAAAAATTTTTATCACTTCAGAACACTAGAAGATATTTGCTGAACAAGAAACCTCCCGCAGTCCCTCGATGCCGCCCATCCCTCAAACCTGATATTAATCAATGAGAAAAGCACAAGCCAGCCTGACAGAGTGACAAACATTCCCTTGTGCATGTATTGTGAATAAATTATTCTTCGTCCTGCTCCTACATAGGTAGATTTCGATACCTGCATGGGAAGTACAAAACCGCCTCAACTCCCTTCGCACTCCTCATGAAGGATTCGCTTTCTCCGTGATTGGCAAAGAACAAGAGCTCCTTCATGCTCGATCCGTCCAAAGCTACACTCCGCGGCATCCCACTTGATTTTCTACGTAAAACATGTTTTTCATCTTCAAGTCTGGTTGCCATTTCCTGTAATTCTCGTTTCCTTCATCGCTTTAGGAAGGGCGTTGTTTGTTGATGGTCATCTAAGTTCGTTCGTTTCCGATAATAGGAAAGGGATTCCAATTCTTTCCACAGGTACCAGATTTGTTGTTTGCTCTTCGTTTTTAGATTTTTTTTTTTTTTTTCACTTGTTGCTCTGTTTGGTTGCTAAGAAACAACAAGATAAGACAACAATGGATTAGTGATGCAGCATCTTGTTTTCTTTTGATTTTGATTGTGAGCAATTTTGAGTTGTCAGCTTTTGTTTTCATTTTTATTTTCTCGGAAACCAAACATAGAAGTCCGCAGCAATATCACTAATTACTGTATGATCCAGTAGTTAATTGTTACTATTTTTTGAAAAAACATTTATCGAATCGAGCGCAATTTGTTTGTAATATTAAAATCCATTTTTCAGTTCGGAACATCAGAGATGGATCCTGTAATTTGCTTAGGCCAGAGCCAGATTTTTCTTTTTGTTCATGGTAAAAGCTAATTTCAATATCCCTAAGTGCTTGAAAGAAAAGTTTCTTTTGAAAAGTCTGTTGAAATTACTTGAAAAGAAGTGATACATCCTCAAAAGTTGATTTTCATGGACTATTGCTGTTTATTTTCACTAAATTGTTACTTCATCTTGATTGATTGCGGATTTACATACCTCTTTTAATTTGAAGACATGTCACCACTACCTTGAAATGAACAAAAAAATGTGATCATTTATGCTGTCTACACTTTCTATAATACATGATATGCTTATTATCCATGTGAAGATGTTTGTGCGTGTTTTAGTTTAATTTTAGAAGAATTCAAATGTCCTAGGATTTTTGTTGTTGTTGTTGTAGCTTTCTTTTTCTCTGGTTTTATTTACCTATTTTAATTGCAGTAAGAGATGGTTGCCTTTGGGAAAAGGTTGAAAGAAAGACAAATCCAAGAATGGCAAGGGTACGTGATTTAAAATACTTTGATCTAGCAAACATCGCTCATAGTTAAAATTGATTTTTGTTGGCATTATGAGAAAAGCTTTGGTTTATTTGAGGCTTTTCTTGTTCTTTAATGAGCATTTAATTCTTTTGGGTTGTGTTCTTAGATGCTTTTGAATATATCTTATGGCATAGTTGAATGAGTAGTTTTGATGAGGTTGATGGTCTACAAGCATTTTATTTAATTTTCTGTTGTCAATCTACTCCAAGCACTTAGTTTATCTTATTGACTGACAATTTTTTTGGTGACTTCCTCTAAAGATTTAGATAAATTTCTTCAATAAGCATCATAGCTAGATACGTGAGACAGGCTTTTTCTTACTAACCTGGAGTCAGATTTTAGCGTTGTGGTACATTTTCTTAGCATGAGTTCATATTTTGATTCTTTTTCTAGATATTACATAAACTACAAATTAATGAAGAAGAAAGTGAAACAATATGCTATTCAAATCCAAGTTGGGGTACTAGATCGCCGTCATGTTCTCAAGGATTTCTCAAGAATGCTTGATAATCAGGTATGTTGGAAACTGCATGTCAAGGTATCCTTGTATCAAGAAGTGTCTGGTGAGAGATATTTTATTATTTATTCCATCTTTAACAACCTCGTTTTTGAATTCCATATGCACTAAACTTCATGTATGTTTAACTTGTTTTAAGACATCATTTGATAAACCTCAAAATCATCTCATCATGCCTCTGTGTGAATTTGCATAATCATGCATACGAAGCTGGATGTGTGGCTTGCAATTTTCCCGATTTAAATCTAGTAAATATGGGACTTCAGAGGCTTTTGGCTACCACCATCTTCTCAATTTCAAAATTAAAGGTTGAATCTGACAGTTATTTTACACACTTCTCTGAATCTGCAATTTCAGATTGAGAAGATTGTCCTTTTTCTGTTGGAACAACAAGGGCTACTTGCAAAGAGGTTAATGAAGCTTGGAGAACAGCAAGATGCTCTGCAGGAGCAGCCTGGTATATCCCAAATAGGTGAACTAAGAGAGGCTTATAGAGCAGAGGGACAAGATCTTCTGAAGCTTCTCCTTTTTGTTGAGATGAACGCAACTGGTCTGCGCAAGATACTGAAGAAGTTTGACAAACGCTTTGGATATAGATTCACTGATTACTATGTTAAAACTCGTGCCAATCATCCCTACTCTGAGCTACAACAAGTGTGTAAGCATGTGGTAATATGTTGAACCTGAAGAGGTTGTTCTTTCCCTTTTAGATGTACCTTTCTTCTTTTTAGGATTCTGAAATCTGAATGGTATTTGGTGCGGAATAACAATATGTAGCATAAATTTGCCACTCCATAGAAAGCTTACCTCCAATTACTTAACTCGCAGGGATTGGGGGCTGTTGTGGGGGCAATATCTCGCAATCTTCATGATCTTCAGGGCCGTCGAGGAAGCTATTTGTCAATTTATGATCAGCCTGCTCTTCCTCTCCAGGTTCTTTTACATGTCATTGATCCAGGCTATATTAAGTTTTGACCCCCACTTTTATGACTTCTTGGATACTTTTTCTGAGGTCTGGTCTCTGCTATTTGTATTAATGGGTTTCTTATGCAGGATCCTGTTGTTGATTCAATAAAAGCAGCCGTGGATAGGTTAACCAACTCAACAAACTTCTTAAACTTCCTCGCACAACATGCACTCATTATGCAAGAAGAGCTGCCTGCTCCAACTGAGGAACAAATTGATGATGAGGAGAGATACCATTTTCTGTCACTACTTTTGAACTTGGTAAACACATTTCTTTATATGGTAAATACGTACATAGTTGTCCCTACAGCTGATGACTATTCGATGAGCCTTGGAGCTGCAGCAACTCTTTGTGGTACTGTGATTGGGGCAATGGCTGTTGCACAGTTGTTTTCTTCGGTGTATTTTAGTGCATGGTCAAATAGATCATATTTCAGACCTCTTGTATTTAGCAGTATTGTTCTTCTTGTGGGAAATACCATGTATGCAATAGCTTATGATCTTCACTCAATGTGGATTCTCCTAATTGGTCGTCTTTTCTGTGGGTAAGTGTTCTCTTTTTTCTGTTTTTCCTCTGTCAGAATTGACAATCCAAAATTGTTCTTACTTGTAGGATACTGCATGAGATCATGATCAAGATTAACTATAATGGAGCTTCTTAATTAAACTTCAACATTGGAATGGTATCACTCGGTAATAATGACCTTTTTTAAAAAGCAAATTTACAAGTCAAATTTTCCAATTGCAGATTGGGTTCTGCAAGAGCTGTTAACCGACGGTATATCAGTGACTGTGTTCCACTAAGAATCCGCATGCAGGCATCAGCTGGTTTTGTCAGTGCCAGTGCCCTAGGGATGGCTTGTGGTCCTGGTCTGGCTGGAATACTTCAGACCAATTTCAAGATTTACAAGCTTACATTCAATCAAGACACTTTGCCTGGATGGGTTATGGCTGTGGCTTGGCTTATATATTTGGTATGGTTGTGGGTCTCATTTAAGGAGCCTTCTCATGATGTGGATAATAATCCTTCGCCTCATGATCCTCTGTCCGGTAATTCTTTTTTGGCCACAACTAGTATAATCCTTTTGGCTTGATCTTCTATTAATGTTGGTTCCACATTATGAAAATCTTAGATTTTCACCTCTTCCCCATGATGATTGTTTCATTTCATAGGATTGAAAGTTTTTCCTTAGTAACATATGAAATTGTGAACTTTGATATTAGATCCTATATTGGCAAAATCAGTAGAAAGTGACGCGCTGGAGAAAGGTATAAAACAGCCATTGCTTATAAGTTCCACAGACAAAGAAGAAGCTGAAGATGGTGAGCAAGAAGGTGATGAAAGTGAAGAATCTCCAGAGGAATCTCGTCCACCAGCTACTTCAATTGCATCAGCTTATAGACTACTGACGCCCTCAGTAAAGGTATGCAATTTATGCTGTTACAATTTCTAAAATTGTTTCAAGTTGGAGAAGATGCAAGCAACTTAAAATAATTGGTTCCGTACTTTCAAATATTAGTATGCGTGAGATGTTATCTTCAGTTTGTCAAATAAAATCATGTGATCTGGTGGTTGACATCTCATAGCTGATTATTCTGGTTGCTCAAGCCTGAGCTAGTGGTTATTTCTTGAGAAAATTTTAAGAAATTTTGAATGCATTCTTTTGAAGTTTAAGTGCTTTAAGTTCTCTACATCCTTACATAAATTGATACAATATCATCAGGTTCAATTGTTGATATATTTCATGCTCAAGTATGCAATGGAGATTTTACTCTCAGAATCTAGTGTTGTTACAACGTACTATTTTAATTGGACTACAAGTGCAGTGGCAATCTTTCTTGCTTGTATTGGCTTGACAGTTCTTCCAGTAAACATTTTTGTTGGAAGCTACATTAGCAACATATTTGAAGACAGGTAACTGTTAAGCAGGATGCCTATTTCTATAAATAAGCAATCGTTGATATTTGATTGATCTAAACCACTGGAATTTATTTATTTGATATATCCACTTTCATTGATCTTGTTGCAGGCAAATTTTGTTAGCATCTGAAATAATGGTTTGCATAGGCATACTCCTAAGCTTCCATGCAATAATACCATACTCTGTGCCCCAGTATGTCTGCTCAGGACTCATCATGTTTGTTTCAGCTGAAGTACTTGAAGGTATTTTGCGGTGTAATTATGCTTGTTCTTATGAGAGCAGCAAATACAGTTCTTAGCTAGGAGTAACATTTTAGTCATGGCATAGATTCAAACTTGATGATGGATTTCTTACTTGTTGAGTTTTGTTCTTCAACCATATTTGATGCAGGTGTCAACTTGTCTCTACTTTCTCGGGTTATGTCATCCAGGCTGTCCCGTGGAACATACAATGGCGGACTGCTTTCAACAGAAGCCGGAACAATTGCTCGAGTGATCGCGGATGGTACAATAACACTGGCTGGTTACTTTGGGGAGAGTTGGCTTTTGAATGCAACTCTACTTCCTTCATTAGTTATATGCATTTCCTCCATCGTTGCCACCTGCTTTACCTACAACACCCTATATTGATAATTGATTCGTAAAATCTTCATTCCTCCCTACTCAAACACCATTCTCTCTCTCTTTTTTTCCTTTCATGTTCAATTGATCAGCTGTGTATATTGTAAAAGGCTAGGTCATTGATTCTTCATGATTGCCTTCCAAATCTCTTGGCAATGCATTGCCTCAGAATAAAGGTAAACTAGATGTCATTCTGCTTAGTTATTCTGTCCTGTAGACTTGTAAGCAACGTTATGTTATGTTAATGTCGTCAAATTTCTGCTATAACTCTTTGAATCTCAAAAAGACAGTATAAATCTACACTGAAGCACACAAATAAAGTCTGTTTGATACACAGTATCAGAGTTAAGGCAACAACAGGGATCTATCAGCTATAGTTAAGAAGCTGCATTTTCTTGGTATAGTATTCATGATTGATACATAACACATAAATAAGTGTTTTTTTTGGTGAAGAATGTGGAAATATGGCAAGCTGTAAGTTCCATTAGTCAATGTGATGAAATTAGTTGTAAGGAATGAGAAAGTCTACAATGTCTCGGGCATACCCCATGTAGCATGTAAACAGAACCAATAATGTTTTTGACACGATTCAGCTTGTGGGACCATAAAACACCTAAAACTAACACCGTTTCTTGCCTTCCTTCTTCCTTCCTTTGGGCTGTTTCAGTGTTTCTACTACTTCTCTATCTGTTTTTATCTTTTAGCCCACGTCGGTGATGAAGTTGTATAATTTTAAAGATAATGTTATAGGGATAGCATTTTTGTTTTTTTTTTTTTATACAACTTTCACATATCATTAAATGAGTGGATATATTTAATATTGCAAGTTTTATAAAAATTTAAAAAATCAATTATTTTAATAATATATCAAATTATACAAAAAAATAAAATAAAATTATTGTGCCAATAACATTTCCTTAATTTTAATGAGTTGTAGTGATTTCATTTACTGACGTGGTATTCCCCTTGTATGACTGACTTTCTTGAAGTTTAGTTGTTTCTACGTGGTATACCCAGAATATTATACACTTTCTCGTTAAGGAATAATTAAAGATCACCTTGAATTATCTCCTTTAGTTAAAAACTTCAATTTCCTTTTGACCTTTGGGGTGAAACATAAATTTTTATTAAAAATAATATTTTACCATATGAATCAATAAACACTGGCTATTGATTAAAGCATTATTTTCACTTTCAATATAGTTTAATAGAAATTTTAAGTT